TATACTTCGATCGACTTTTGGTCGTGAGAAGCAATTCATCATAAGTTATTATCTATCAATACTGACATTACATACGTAAGTCGTATATAAATTCTATACTCGCACATGCACACATATATGCAAACACCGCAGCGAGTCCTGTTACATACGTGTGGCATGCCTTCCGCGATTTCTTTTAGGATAAACGAACAAAAACGAACGCGTGAATACAATAAACGCCATAAACCGCAAAAACGTCTGATTGTTCCCCGTGTTCGTAACATATATTATAGTAATTTACGATTTCCATCAACTTATTGTACGATTTCGCATAATCTTGGCGTGCTCCTACGTTCATTTTTTTCCCTTCTGTCGTCGAATGGGGCACTCCGAGTGTTTTCGGACTTTTATATTTACGCTAGTATTTTATTATAATATTAGACACGTATATAAACACTAGCATATGTAATGCTTTATAAGATAAAGAACATGTAAATCGTATACACTTATTATTATTTTTTATATATTTTTCCGCTTCTGCGGCAGCAACCTGTTCACGGTCCAGTGATACCCCTGAGTAGAGGCCCCAAGGAGGCCGTTATCGTACACACTCACAAGTTATGTTTATATATACACGTCTGTCGATCTGTCCGTCGTGTACACACACACACATGCATTGTTTTCTTTCATCTCTCTCCACGAGTCTTGTGAGAAAGAGGAGAAGGGTGAGAAATAATATAAAATGGTGGACGCCCATTGTTGTAGATCTAGTGCGTGTGTGTGTGTATATCGAATGGCGATGGCTATAAACTGTCCTAGTTTTTAACACTGACAAGAGTCAAGGTTAGAAAGTCGTATGTGTCTTATGTGTATACAAGGTACCACAGACACACCTGGTGCACCATCGTCCTGGTAAATTCAATACTCGACCGTAACGCGTGTATGGTTTATAACATATCAAGTCAAAGTACACACGTATAAACGTTCCATACCGCATTGCATTATTATATAGTACGGTTATCCTTTATACATTTTATTATTAATAAAAATTATGATTTTACTATGTATTTATTATGTCTGTATTAATACATATTTTGCATTATCCGTATAGTATTTATAAACAATAAAGTATAGGGGTCGTGTTCACGGTTTTCAATAATTCATTTATTATTCGTTTTTAACGTATATATCACATGTAAAAACATTGAGCCGAAAACAAAAGTCTACGGTCGAGTTTTCTTTATTTTTTCATCGCATAACTCACTACACCCGGAACAATATAAACAATACAAAATAGATCATACGTAACGGACTGCTGAAATTCGACCAACATTTTGTTTTCACTCCGGTCTGTTGAAACGATTTTCTTCATTGCCTCGTTCTTCAATTTTAATATTATATTATTTTTTTACATTATTATTATATTAGTTTTTGTCTCGGTATATACTTATGCGTCGTGCGGCCATCGTTTTATACATTGTCTTTCGATACACGTACATAAACAAATAGTACACATCGAATGCGTATATATCTATGAGTACACACAATCACCGGAACTATTAGTGAAAAAAATAATGTTCCGTTAGATTTATATTCCTTTTTATTTTCCTAATCTCGCCAAGAAATCCCGTGTTTGTTCACTGTTCATTATAATATGTGAGACGATAGAGACAAATTTTAGCATAAAACGAATCCATGAATTTCGGATAATATTTTGTTTTAAATGTGCTCATGGTTATGCTAAGCATTGGAAAATAAATACAAAAATATTTTGGCAGTGACACAAATTTAATTCACTCTAAAGATGAAACGATAACACAACTTTTTTAAGAATACTATATGATTTTGTTTTCATACAAACGCAATAACCGAATTATTTCCAATTATCTTTATTTATTCATTATACAGTATAATTTTGATGGTTCGAATACCAAGTGTTATTTTTTTATTTTAATAATATTAACTCGTCACTTCTCAAGTTGACGATATTTCACCGTACCTAAACGGCAATTCATAATTTATTATTTTGATCAATCGCACGTTTAACATTGTTTTTCTTCTTAATTCACGCTGGTATAATAGATACACACACGAATACGACACAACAAACAATAATAGACTCTTCCGTCAAGGTCAAAATAATTTTTTTATTTTAGATAATGTTACCTGCGTAAAAAGTCCAAATAAGAATACACCTATTATTGAGCAGACCAACATGCACGCAACGTAATAATACACATAGATGTACATCACAAATAATGTTTGACTAAATGTGTTGGGTGTATAGTAATGTAAATACTGTTGTTGCGCGCATTCGTACGTAATATAGTCATCAACGAGCGCGCTCGTTGGACAGTCAAATGATCGATTCGATTAATTATTTCCGATTCTATACGGTTTTTATTTTAGTTACGGTTCAACAAATCTTGAAATAAATTTTTCCGATGCGTTTTGTTTCTTGTGTACACATTGTACGGGACAATCAAAACATATCGTCTTCGCGTGCAGTGACGTACACGGTCCGTATACGAAGTATTCATTTGAAATATATAAACACTATCGGAATTTAGGTAAACCAAACTGTGCTAATAAAAAAAAAACCCTATTCGGAGGACACGGGTAGCGCTGATTACATATGTATACGGTTGTATTTAGGAACATATTACGAGTGCACATGTATGATATAGATTTTATGTAATGTCAACCGGTTTTTTCGCGAGAAACGAAACACTGGGCTCACTGAACAGTCCGCCTCGACTGCGGTTCGCGCGCGTAACACGCTCAAGAGTTCAAACGACTGCGCGTGCACTTATTGTGAGCACGTTTTTTTTTTGTTTCTTTCACGTTTTTGTTCCACGGGTATCGATGTGGCGATGAGACGTACACGCGCGCGCGTACATTATGACGTGACGAATTTTCTGTGCGCGCGAACACGTGTATTACTACTCGATGCGGATCGAATGACATTCTGCGCGAGATCATCGCGTGGGAGGATGCTCGGGTGTCGCTATGTGATCTCGTAATCGCGAGTTGTGCGCGCGGTGCACAACTATTCGAAATCGTAATACCGCGTAATATACGCGCGTAGCAGTAGTAGAGTAGGTACACGCCATTTTGTCGGGGACTAGCGCACGGCCGCGCGCTCGACCGACGTGACCGTCGAAAGTAAAACTCGAGCAACAGATCCGCATTACTGCGTTCGGTAGAAACGGTATACATGTATACGTATTTGCTTCAGGTGAAGAACGCAAACAAGTCGTCCGCGTACGATGATTGGCCCGCAACCGTAAAACCTAATACGCGTGTAATGTGTGCCGAGACCAAAGGATGTGCCCCGTACGAACGTAACTGCGCGTTACGTTCGCCGACGGTGTACAGCGGCTCTGCAGTAGTTCTCCCCGTCCACCGTCTTCGACTCGTGTCCCGGAATATTGATGCGGTCGATCGAGAGCGCATTTTCGTTAGTATGCACCAAGGTGAACGCGCACGCACACGTATTTGCCGCCGGAAAAGAAGGGCGCGCGCGCGCGCGACAACAACGCGACACGATGATTCATCCGGGCGACGACGGTTGCGTGTGTATAGGTATATTTTCTCGTGTCAGCCAGGCGTGACTGCGACGTTCGCTGCGAGGAGAGAGAAAAAAAAAACCGAAATAACAACGCGCGGGAGAAGAAATAATAAATAAAAAGACGGTGCAAATCGCTATTGTATTTGTATACGTGTGCATATATTGTGCGCTGTATCGACAACGGCTTAGCCGCACATTATATACTCATAAGTACAAACACACGCACGCGCACACGCGCACGTATACTGTAATGTAACGAATTTTCTGAGCGCACACGCATACGCACGCGTACCGGGTCAATGTGGCTGCGACGAGACTATATAACAATAATAATGTGTAATATATAATATTATTATCGTATTAGTGTTTTCGGCTCTTGCTGTTCGCTTCCGATATTCGCGAGGTCGTCGTATCGTAACAATATTGTCGTACTACGTGATTCTTAGTTTAAAACGAGATGCGGCTCCAGACTTCGGTCTCGAGTCCGTACCCACAGTGGCGTATTTAAGGAAAAACATGGTCATAACTTAAATAACATTCCAAGGTGATAATACATTATTAATATTCATTAAAGTTGCAAATTTAATTTATTTTTAGAGCAAGTTATAAATAAACTTATGATTTTGTACATTATCTTTAAAATAAGAAATACAACATACAAAAAATAAAAAATAAATAAACATTTTTTAAAAAATAAACTTCCATTCGCTAGTCGCTACTATCTGTACTGGAATTATATTCAGAATCTGAACTGGAATCGTTAATATTTTTTTCGGTGTCTAAATTATAATCAGGAGGTTGTAACAAGTCTAAAACTTCTTTAGAATAAGTTTTCAGTTCTTTTTTTGGCAGGTTTCTCATACTAGATATATATGGATCTGATGATACAAGAAGACGATTGAAAACGTCTTCCATTGTAACTTTTCTTGACATTTTACGTGAAAAGTCCTCACGATATTTTCTAAAATTCTTATTACGTGCCTCTTGCGCTTCCTCGGACAATTGACCAATAGGCAAGATACAAGACGATATAACTTCTGAACTATGAATTAAAATTTTATGTACAGCTGTAGACATTGGATACCATGGATATTTATTGACAAAGTTTTTTGCCGTATCAAGAGTAAAAATTTTGAATTTATCCACATTTATATTATAACCACTTGATATGACTAAAAGTACAACTTGAAATTGTTTTATTATACCTTCATCTATTCCAGTTATAGAAGATGATATGAAAGAATTTTCAAAAAAACTGCGTGCCGTATTTCCATCATTTGAGGAACCGAACCCAGGTTTTGGTTTATCTACTATTAGTCCTAATTGTGATTTAAATTCTTGTTGAATTCTAATTTTATTAGTTTTAATAACTTCCTTACTTTTGCTATCTAATACTCGCCATTTTTTTACATTTAATTTGTAAGCTAAATGAAGCAAACATTCAAAAAAATCGTATCCAGGCATGTAATATAGATAGCCCAAAATTTAACTTTATGTTCGATTCGTCGATTCTTATACGAGTTATATTATTAATGTCATTAAAATCCTTAGATGTTGCACCACAAATGTAACATTTTAACGTGGATTTATTATCACACACTGCATTGCATACTTTTCCGTCGACCATTGTAAATAATAATTGATAATTTACTACCACTTCACGATCATTAAAAATAAAAGAAGAAGGAATCAATGATTTTATTTGATTTTCTTTGTTCTTGGTTTCAATAGTAATTACTTCTGTGGCATAACTGATTTTGACGTTTCTTTATAAGCCTTTCTATATTTTTCTGCTCGTTTAGGTGTTGTTAATGTCACATCTTTTATCACATTAGCAGCATCTAACTGGCCACTTGCACGGAGACTCATCTGAGCCGCATAAGATAATTCTAAAGAACCTACCTCGGACCTTAATAATTGAGTTTTTCTACGTTTTGTACGTTCACTACTCTTAGAGAAATACACTTTTGGTCTTCCACCCTTAACTTTCATATCATTTGAAGAAAATGAAGAAGCTTTGTACATAGGAAAACTTATTTTAGTTTCCAACCAACCAAAATTTTTTTTTAAAAAATAATCTACGTTTCGAGATGATGCAGACCATTTGGTATTAAACTGGGAAATAAAATAAGATAAAACCTTTTTTATATCCTTCGGTAATTCATTTGGATATTTAGTAATTTCTAGTATATATTTTGTTAAGTGTTCATAATTTCCATGTGGATGTTTCGATTTTGTTGAACCTTCTTTTAAAATTGTATACAAGTCTCTTCTACTAAGAACAATATCATTACATCGAGATCCTATATAAAAAATTAATTTTTAAATATTATAAGTTTTAAAAGAATAATTTATTTATGATTTAATATGATCCTAATAACTATAAAATATAGGTTTACGTGCAGTAAAAATAAAATAAGTAATTTATATAAAAATATTTAATAAAATTATAAATATTTTTTTTTGTATATTTACAGGTTTTTAATATGATTTAATTAATTTTGACTAATATCGCAGATATTAGCAAATATTTTTTGCTTTAATATATTTGTTATAAGTATGACTATTAAAATCTGTTACAATTTTAAGTTGATCTCGCTTGATCCGGAATGTAAAATATATATAACTATACACTTTATATGATATTTAGTAACTTATATTTTATTGCTAAAATTAGTACGATAAATATAATTACCTCCAGGGATAGATTCCATCTTTTATAACTAACAAATAACGTTTGTTTTTAATGTAATAAACTACTTAAATATGAAGTGTAAAACAAAATTATATTAAGGCAAAACTATAAAACACTATTTATAGTATTCACTTGTGAGTTGTGGTGAACAAATAGATTGGGTATCTACTATTCGATTTGTCATCACTAAGATTGTTTATCTAACTGAACTTTGTACTCTGATATGTAATCTTTAAATTACCGTCAATAGTTATCTTATTCAGTTATTTTTATTTCTTTCGGTTTTGACCATGTTTTTCCTTAAATACGCGTCTGTGGTACCCAACCTAGGATAACCTTGATTGGCGATATTTTTCAAAAAAAAATCCTTATAATCGAGATCGTCTCCCACTTCTCCACACACGTTCACGATACGTGATATCCGACGGCGGACATGTCGGCCGTAAATAGTTCGCCGGAAGAACTGCAACCGCGGCGGCAACAACAAAAAAGTAGTTTACCAAAATATCTATGCGCGTAGGTTTCTGTTGCGCACTACATCGTGGTTTTTACTTCAAAATATGCGGTAGGTACCATAATGTTGTGCACGTATCCCCCGTGTATTAAAATCGCAAAGATAATCGACACGGACCCCGAGTAAAAGAAAAGTCAACCCGAATGTTAGCAAATATCATCCAATTCCGCAGTGCACATTATTCAGCGACGACGATTTCAGGTTAGTTCGAGTAATCATCGTAAGACTCGTCCGTACCCCGGAACAATGCATTAATAGCACGAGACTGTATACATGTATAAGCAATAAGTATAAACGTATCGGACGCCCGCAATCCGCCGCAACTTTTTGTACCGAAGCGAATCAAGCATTGTTCGCTGCGCACTCGTTAAACGGCACAAAAAACGTTATGTTCGCGCATAAATTAGCCCCGTTACCGCAGCGCGAATAGAAAATAGAGAGAGAGAGAGAGAGGAAGGGATTGTGTCCCTATGTATCAATAACTCTCCGATAACGAGACCGCCGACTGCGTCTCCGTTATTGCACTCGCAACAAAATATTTTGCAGTACACACTGGTCTACTGCAGTGTACCGGGGAACGAGAGCGTATATTTTCGTTACAATATAGTATTCTACTGAAAATAAGAACTTGTGCCACCGTTATACTTTTGGTTGAAAAATTATGGTTGTCTACAATCATAATATGTGACGTGTCGAAACGTATGGACAATGTAGCCGATGTAGGTATAATACGTGTGTGATCCTTTAAAATGGATGGTAGACGACGTTCGAAATATTATTATAGTACTTAAAATGTGTTTCAAACTAAATTAACTGTCTTAAACAGGATATTATGATACAGTATTATGAAGATGTATTATGAGATGCTAAAAATCCAAATGCCTACACTTTTTTTTTGATTAACGCTTACGAGTAAAGGATAACGGTTGACTATGTTTCTATGTTAATTTCCTGCAGGGATTGTAGCGACAGTACGTGATGATTTTGTATAGTCGTCATTCATTGATAGTTTTCGATACAACCCGATTGTCGTACTATTTGCAATAGTTCTTGACCATTGTGGCACTTCGTCGGTCATTGTGTACTCTGCGCGCGCGAATAGTCACTGTATTCTATTGTACGATTATATGTTAAATCGTATTAAATTATTATTATCGTTTCCGAACAATATATTATTGATATTATTGCTACGTGTGCATTACGTCCGATGTAATATCAATAAATTACTACTGCAATTCAATTTATTGGTCTTAAAACGTAACGTATAGTCGGTATAAGTGCGCTATGCGTTTAGGTATGTAATATAAACATATTATGTGTTACATATTTTCTTTGGACGTCATGTGCGTAGTACATTATCCGCCCCTTACAATCGGATAGTGTTTGCAATAACTGTTACCGTATTTTCATTGAGAAAAATTCATATTTAAACGACTCTAAATCGCCTTAACTCGAACCAGACGTGTCCGTGTCTATATATGTACCTGTACCTTCGCCGAAGAAAATCTCCAACTATGGCACGCACGTAACAACGTACCGTTACCGCAGTATCAGACATATATTGTATCTATAGCCATTTGTTGTTCGGCAATCGCTATTGTAATCAAAAGCCGATTACAATGACACGATTTGAAGCTCGAACATCTTTGAACAACGCGATTTCCATACCAACTCAATTGTATATTAATGTTCTGTCTGGATTTAATATATTTTTTATTGTATTAAAATATAAGTCAACGTAAGTCGACATTAGTCGATGGTTTGTCATTTTGGACACTTTTTTTTTTTTTTACTTTTGTGTTGTGTAAATGCATTGTGAGTTTTTTTCATTATTGCGAAATTGTCTTTAGTGAAACAAATTACTGACTGATTATTGCAAACTTCAACAGAAAATTGTTTTTATGACGAAAATCGCCTAGAACTTAAAATAAAACGAATCCGCCGTGTTTCGTAACTAATTGTCGTTATGGTCGATGATTATAAACTATTGGTATTTTTTTTCCCCCTGTACTATAAGCCTATTTCGGAATTCAGAATAAAAAAAACCGTCTATGGCTAAATGCCTGTGTGCGCTTTCACGCAAAATATCGTTATTTTATCTGCGCGTGTCGTTGACGTGTGCATGACAGATGAATCATCCGAATGCGAACAAAAAGTCATATTATGCTGAAGGTCCACTGACACATTTTTAACCAGATGTAAACAGATGTTAAACGATAACTGATTAATTTTATGTGAACGTTTAACTTCGGTTAACTCGTGCACACCACATATGGATTGTGAGTTCAATAATAAAATTATGTCCATCGTACATAAATTATGCACACACGTAATGGAAAGGAAACGGCAACGCGGCTAAACATGAAAGTGGCACAAGAGGACATATAGGAAAGTTGGAACTTAGCCCCCCCGAGGGTTCCTCTCGACAGGTTCCTGGTTTTGGGGTCATCTGCAATAGTTATCTTTACTCGTTTAATGGTCATCAATATTCACGTTAGACGGCGATTATTAATACTGTTTTTGCTCTGACATACATATCGATATTCGTACGGCTGTTAATTATTACTGTTCGCTTAATAATTGAAGATAACAATACATCATGATTGGCCAACAACCGCAATACGATAACATGCTTGTTGCACATCCTTAGGCGATGAGCTTATAAATACTTTTTCGTTTTGATAATTAGTTTTATAAATTATTTTTAAAAAAAATTTAAACTTTATTTAAATAGTTCTATGAATGAAACGTAGATACAATTATACATACAATTATTAGTAAATGTTATTGCGATTATTATTTACTATAATACCTCTAGTATAGTAATCCATGTAATATGAAAGATTAGTTTCATCTATACATTTTTGTAGTTAATTACTGTAGGTATATCATATATTAAATGGTGTATTTTTTTACATTTGATTTCAACAACAATAATTGGTAATCAAATAATTTTAATATTGAAAGAACTTAAAATTTTAGGTAAACCTGGTCCAGATGTGATTTAAAATTGTATACTTTCATTTCAGTTAAGGAATTTTAATAGTTATTTAGAAATCCAAGCATAAATTTTTTGTTCTAAATTATCTTAGCTTTAGTTTGCATTGGCTATGGATGAGATAAAACAAGAAGAATCGTACATAGTTAGGTAGCTAAAAACCCGTGCGGAATCAGTACCACATAGCCAAAGCTGTACTTTTTTCAATGGATTGGATATTATTTACCTGGCATGTCCTAAGTAAACAATTCATGCGTGTGAACAGATCAGATACGTAAAGATTATCAAATCATGAATACTTCTGCTTAAGGTTCAAAGAATCGTTCCAAAGAATATAATATGGTGGACATCCGAAGGAAAAATATTGGATTTGTACCAAGACCTATCTCATTACCTTGCGTTGTATTATGTATCCCACCAGATCCGCCTATCAGCTGCCACGCCTATGTGGCTGTCTGGAATGCCGTGTACATTCCGGAGCGACCACTTTAAAACTCATGACACCATCAAATTTATTATACGCACTCTGAGAAGCTTCTATTCTCGTTTGTTTCGACATGGAAGTATACGAAAAAACGACTAACAAATAATACCGTTTATTTATTTATTTCTTAGTTGATTAAAAACACCAACAGTTTGTGGTTCCATTTCAATCCGTGAATTAAAAAAAAAAAAAATGTACTTACCTACTCTAAAATAATAACCACGAAATAAGTATAGGTACCTTTTATGTAAATTGTATGCAATGAAGATAACTTAGTTTAAATATTTATTTATTAAACGTTTTTTAATTTATTTATATATTTAGTTTGTGTATTATAAAAAAAATTTTACAATGTATACCATATATATATATATTAACTGTCTTCGCCTTGATATGCAAGGTGATATGCATCAATCGAAATGCCCGATATTATCCTAATGCGTAATTGTTATGATTCGTATTACAGTGTATACCAGCAGTGGAATTTTAACCAAATATTACACAATTTGTTAAAATATGATATTATTTTTTCTAATAGTTTCAAAATACCACTTTATATAGAAAACCTACTACAGTTACTGTTCACACTTAATTTTCGCCCAATTACCGTCTGTAAGGTTTAGAAATATTTTATCAATTATATAGTATTGCACGTATTTTAATAACACTAATAACTAAAAAGTAATAATGTAAATTGTAAAGTATGGGTATTTATTAAAAGTATACTTTAAATACCTATTATTAATAAACATTTTAATTTAACAATGAAATAGATGATATTATCTACTTTAAGAATTAGAACTCTTTCAAAACTGTTATATAATATATTAATTAAACAAATATTTGACCTAGTGTGAACATAATATTAGTCGCAATTATTAATATTTGGAATTTTCAACATTGAATAGAAATTAAATTTATAAATCATAAAAATAATCAAATTATTAAAATGTAACCACTCATGATATTTTACATGAATATTTTAATAATCGCTATTGCACCATTTTTAATAGAAATAACGAATAAATATTTTAACATAAGTCCTTTTAACATTATGAGGACATTGCACATATGGTGCGAAACAGATAATTGACTTAATCCATAATAATTTTATCAAAAAACATACATTTTTTTACAGATAAAATTAATAATAAAACTAATAACCTGTGCTATTACATTTGATAAAATTCAATATTTTACTAAATGATAATAAATCGATCAATATTACCATTTATGTATATTTTTTATTACATATTTTACTACAACGTATCTATATCTACGTAGATATCGATACATTTAGGTAATGTTTCATGAGTTTCAGTATTTAACATTAATTGTTGGTTAAGATACACCTCAGAATGTTTCAAATAAAGTTTAAAGAAAAATTATAAAATACCATAAGTTTTTTAATACGATTATTTAAGTTCCTAATACCTAATCACTATAATTCGTCTTTACTCAACTTTCTTCGATATTTAAAATAGTTGAAAATGATTAAATAACATTTTCGCGAATTTTTTTAATGGACTATTACGATATACTTGTCATTATAGTTAGACATAGTCATGCACATTAATTAGCATGCGATAAAATTATTGTCCAATAGCTAGGGGACATACATAACAACGAGATTATTCGATGTAGACATACACTATATGTGTGTATAACATGCATGTGTACATCATTACAATCGAGGTTTGTTTTGAAAAAAAAGAAGACAATACAAAATCATTAATACACAGATTAGTACAGAGCGGGTATGAGTACTGCGGGAACGAGGAACGACGGACAATGATAATGAAAATTCGTTGTCGGAGATTCATCACGTAGCTCGAGAATAGACAAATTATATTGCATAAAAAAAACATCCACAACACCCCACCGCTATCTAATACCAATATAATAATACTGTGTACGCTATCGAGAGCCCGGAGAATAAATGCTGAGTAACAAATAAAAAAAATCGTTATTTACCTGCAACGGCGTGTTTATCTTTTTGTTTTCACGGGCCTCTGGTGATGGTGCATTTGTTTCTGGTGCATCACCTGGTCAGCTCGATCCAGCTCGTCGCCGGATAACTCCAGGTCCTGCATCATCTGCATGATCTCCCGTTCCTTCTTGATGTCTACCTTATTCGGAGCCCCGTCGATGCCGTTGGGCACGATGGGCGGCGCAGCGAACTTCAAATTTGCCAGCGACCCATACGACCGGGACCGGTGCTCCTGCCGAATCGAGTACGAGAACGCGCGTTCGTTCAGGTGGCCCTTTCTCCGGTATATCCCGGTGCTGTACACCGAGTCCTCCGTGTCATCCGTCTCGTCGTGTCCCGACATCATTCCGTTCCCGTTGACCCTGTGCCCGTTCACCGCCAACTGCGGCGGAGGCTGCTGCTGCTGTATCATCATCCCTCCGCCACCACCGTTGACGGCCATCGGCGGCGGCATCATCGGAACCATTCCCCCGCCGTTGACCGAGTCCTTGTATTTCTTGTCCTTTTTGCTTTTCTTGCTCTTGCCCATCGGCACGTTGTTGTTGTTGTTGGCGTATTGCTGCATCAGGTACGCTTCGTGCGGGAAGTGCTCCGGTTGATACGACGCGACAGGGCTAAGCGGCCGGGCGGACGGCATGTAAATCGGTTCTTCCATGGCCATCGGTATCGGCATCGGTATGCCGTGTTTGGACTTCTTGCCCGTGTGCACGTACATCGGTACAGGCATAAAATTAGCCGGTATCATGCCGGGTCTCGGCACCGGCATCATGCCCGGTTTCATCTTGTGCATTTTCTTGGGATGCGGCAACGTGGTCGGTACCATCATGATGGGCGGCGGCGGCGGCGGTTGCATCATGCCGGGGTGATGGTGATGAAGGTGGTGCGGAAGCGGGTGCGGATGGTACCCGTTCACAGGCCTGATCATAGTGCCGCCGTTCGAGTAGATGTGATTGGGCGGCGGCGGCGGCGGCGGCTGTTGCAAGAACCCCCTCGGCGGTCCTCGGCTCACTATGGTACCGTTCAACGACACGGAACTTCGACCGCCGTTCATGGGTCTCATCAACGACCCGTTCAGAGACGGCGCGTACAGGTCCTCGCGACTTCCGCCGGTCGGCGTGCGCTTTCGGCGCGGTCTCTCCTTGTTCTTCTTGGACTGTTTGTCGTCCCTGACGGGCGGCGGCGGTGGTGGCGGTGGCGGAGGCGGTGCACCGCCGACCAGCTGACGCGGCCTGCTGGACCGCGAGCTGCGCATCGTGTTCCCGCCGTATAGATCTTCCTTCTCGGACACGTCTTTAGTGCTGCCCACCCACACCTTGTGGTTCTCGTCGCCATTGCACTCCTCGGACAGATCGTCGATCGAATTGGTCGAAGCCTCCAGCATGGTGATGCCGTTGGAATGAGCGCTGTTCAGAGTCATAGTGCTACCGGCCGCGGCCGCCGCGCCGTTGGTCATGCGTCTCCATCCCTCCACCTTTTCGATAGTGTTGTTTCCCATCGACCTGTTCGTGCGGACCGTACCGTATATGCTGTTGGCCGCCGTACCTCCGCCGCCGCCGCCGCCGCCGCCGTCCGACTGTTTGGCGTACGACGAGTCAGCGTACGCGTGGAAACAGCAACGGACCAACGCGTTGGCGGCCATCTCGCGTTTGCATATGAACGTGTGGCACTCCAGCACTTTGATGCCGGACGTCCGGCGCAATATGGCCGCGAACAGTGGCGGATGGTTGGGGTTCGGGGACCGGGCGAACGGCGAGTCCAGCGGCAGGAACCTCGGCTGCGACGAGCTGCTCGACTTCTCGGGCACCAGCACGAACCTGACGGCCGCGCAGTAGTGCAGTGACTCAATCGGGAAGAACCTGGTGATCTTCTTGTGGTTCTCGTCCACGTTCTCCAGCAGCAGACCGTTGCTCCACACGCTCAGCCACGAGTCGATGCCTCGCGCGCCCAGCGCCCCCTGCTCCGGGTATAGCTCCTTCAGCGGTTCCTGTATGCCCTGCAGCCCGTCCTTGGTGATGTGCGGCACCGCGGAGCCCAGGTACAGCACCCGGCACCGACAGATGGGCGTCGAGTCGGACGGTCTCGTCATCATCATACTCATGGTCGACGCGGTACGTAAACTCGCGACGACGTCAGGTTTCGGTTCGGACACCCGGTAGATATTTCGCGTCGACGTACGTATTTAGCTGTACGAAAACTGTGCTTGCACCGGTGACCGCGTGCACATCACGCGAGTTGATAAGGGGTAGTCGTGGAGATCGCTACGGCGGCGGTGTGTAGTACAAAACGGCCGACGGTATATCGCAACCGCGATAATGTTCGTACGAAGCTCCCCCCGGACCGAGAATAATACTTTGGACCGACCGCGTGGCGAATCACGAATTCGCGTGGATCAACATGTTGTTGTCGTGCCGTGCACTCGACTGTCGCGCAGCACCGGATATACGCGCGCAACTCACCGGGGACGAGAAAATCAGCACCCAGAATAAAACGATATCCGCGAACAGACCGGCCGGTGAAATGTAGAGACTGCGTAAACTGCAACGGACGCGGGCGGCAAGAACACGCGATAACTCGGTACGTGACGCGACTGCGGATGGTGCCCCGTAGACTGACGGAGCGGTCGTAAGTGACCTGTTGTGCAGGTTACAGACGAGTCTCCCACCACTCCGGTGACGGCAGGTATTCACGAAGATAGCAGTCCCCTCGGGTACGAGGTACCGGTTCACCTGTTGATACCACCGCCGCCCGTACACTTTTACCTGAAGGCATGTTCTGTTGAGAAAAAAAAAACATGCGCAGACGATTGATGTACCTACCTCTCTTTATATATATATATATATATTATATTATTTGAGGTATTCTACATTATATTATATTTAGAAAATTCTTTCGTCGTCATCACGAAAGGTACACACGTGCATTGGAAAAGGTGTCCGTCCCACCGGGTACGTTGTTACCACGATAACTTTACCAAAGGAAACATATTTATTTTATTTCAAAATTTATTTTTCATTATTAATTCGTCGTTCTCGACGAGTACGTGCGCTCAGAACACGGATTAATTATTCTAATTTATTTTCAAAACAAAGTGAAATGGATTATTTCGTCTGCGGATCAAATATAACGTGAATAGCGTCGATTTTTTATTGAGTTCTTGTTTGTTTTCGTATTTTATGTACATACTATAATGATTGTATAACAATATTCAAAATAATATTATTATTATTATTATTATTATTATGTGACTGTATAAAATAGGTAACATGATGTATATTACTTATTAAAAAAACTTTTTTACTTTTTGAATAACCAAGAAATATTTAAGTACTTTTAATAATGCGAAAGGTTCTCGAGCATATTGAGTATAAGAAATTTGTTTTTATTCTCCCAAATTAGTGTTCTTGTTTTTCAACCATGTAATTTTCTTCTTAAAATTACTTAACCAACATTATTTATAAAATAAATTGTACTTTGTATGCCCATATTTTATTTGATAACAATAATTAATAGTACAGTATCGACTGCTCAAAAAAAAATATGATTTCAGAACAAAATATAGATCATCAGTCACTGCAAAGATGAAAACTATTAAACGTGATTTTTTAACACATATTTGTCATATATACTTAATTCAACTATCTTCGCAGGAATGGATGAGAAATATCTACATAATAAAAATAAGAAAACACAATTTAATTTATTTTTCTTATATAGGAATGTTAATTATAGTATTTGCTCCAACGTTACTAACAAAGTAACAACTCATAGTTATTTAAATTAACGTATCCATACTCGTATTTTTATCAGTAGCGCATATAAATATTTTCAATGTGGGAAGGGAGTTGTTTACATTAAAAATTATACAAATCTATCAATATATGTTTTATTTATAGTATAAATAAACATCTAATTATCTAAGTTTTCTTAGTGCGTGTGCGTGTGTGTGTATAAAAACAAATTGGTAGCCACATTTTTGTGGCATTCTATAAATACATTTTCGCCTTTTTTTAAATTTTAAAATATTGTTTTTGAAGTAATTCAAATTCTATTTGATCGTTTTTTTATTCAAAAGAACAAGTTTTAACTTCTATATTTTAAATTAATGAGGAATGGTAGATATATTATTAGAAGATATGTTAAATGAAACGAGATACTTAAAATCTGTTTCATCACAATTTCACTATGGTCGAATAAACAATGAGAAACTTAATAATATAGATTTTATTCGATAAAATTATACATATTAGTATAAAATGTTATAAAACAGATAACAATTAAATTATGTATTAGGATATATCGTTTAAAAATACCAAGATGCTCTAAGAATCTGATCCCTAATTGAATTATGAATCATTGAATTAAAATGCAAATATTAATTCTAAAATAATCTTCTGGTTCTTCTCTTTTGATATCGTTGAATTAGTACGGTATACTTGCCTTTTATTTAATCTTCTTTCTAAATCTAGAACTTTGACATTTTCTAAAAGAGGAAAAACCTAATGAAAGTCATTCTCTACTGCTTTAGCCTTTTTCCCATTGTTAAAAGTCTCTAAGGAAAGAAACCGAAGTTTTTGATTTCCTTAGAACTAACCTAAACTTTAGTTGGTTTTAGAAAAAAACCACATAAATTTACAAATGTCATCGTCTTTTATTTCAGAATGTCACCGACCATAATATGAAGTAGTTTAGATCCCAATACATAACACGTGCAAATTTTTTACTAACTAAAGAAACATAAAAATGCATAGCAATTTTTTAATATTACCTACTCTTTAGTTTTTAGTATTGCATATTTTTCGATGAACTAATTAATATTTTTGAATCGTTTTGTGTGTCAGGCAAAACTGTAAATTATACATAGCAAAGCAATGAAAATAATAATATATTTTTCGATAGTTAAGAAATTATTTACATAAATGCATGTCAGCCCTTCTGGCTCTTCTAACCACGTGCTTTTATCAGACTTTGGAAAACGGAACAAAATGTGTTGCTGCTAGTCTACCTAAGTATTTGATGATAAGAAAAAATTAAAAATCACGCTTAACGGCCTCGGCTCAGTTGAAAACGACATCGTGACAATTTAAAAAAATACGATTGCATTCACTTTCGACGGGTCGTAATGCTGATGCGCGCGTGCATTGTGCATTTACCTGCAATTGTATTGGCCAACGTTTATGCAGCGGTGTACCGCGATCCTTTCCGTGCCATTTGAATCGTGGATACCATGGATAATTGTTTCTTCTTTCGTAAAACTATATTTCGCCACACTCGAAAGATTACGAAGACACAATCACGTCCGCGGGGGTTATATTACCGATGTTTGATATTAGCCAATGGATAACTATAGTTAACTGAAACCTAGACAATCTAATACAAATATCCACAAATACCTTAACTACTATAATTATCTTAACAAACCGTACCTATCGCGGGATTAGATACCCGTCTATTATGATATTTTGTCTCGCCGAGAGGAGTACATGTACAATATTTATTGCAAAACTACAGTCTATATCTAGTTTAGACAGGTACGCACAATTAAGTAATAATATTTTTTCACAAAATGTAATCTTAATAATGTATTAAATATGTATAGTATACATTGTATACTATAAATGCAGTCAAGATACTCTCGTTAATATTTCTAATTTTTAAATGACGTGTGAATAAAATTTGTTACAATTCTTATGCGTACATGTTATTGTAATAAATTACAATGTTAGTAGTATAAATGGAAACAACATTTGGTAAACGTCACTTTTACACATGTACAACATATAAATTATTATAACTAATTAGTATTAGTATTAATGCTAACTATTTCTATGACCCACTCACATATCCTATATGACATATACATATGGCCAACTTACATAATCCTCCATAGTTGTTGATAGAAATCGGTCACTAATAAAAAATATTTGTTACAATTTTCATTTTATTTTAGCGCTAAAAATGTAAACATTAACATAATAGCTGTAATTCAATGATTATATTTTTAGGTGTTACCTATTTAACTCGATTATTTTTTAAAACGTTAAACTATGTGACTTTACTAAACCTAAAAACGTATGGACTGTTAAAGTAAGCTAATATGTCTTAATTTTAAATGATCCAAAAACAAAACCACATTTTAAAATATAATTACTTCGCTAATTATTTATACAAATTTGTTTTATGATACATGATTTGATACAAATGTTCTAAATGTTTTTTTTAATTTTCAGTTCATAATAAATAAAATAGTATAGTACATCGAAATAAATTTCTAATCAATTAAAAAGAACTCCAGAGATAGATGCGAAATCTAAAAATAAAATAATTAATAAATAATCTAAAATAGCAGTCACCAACTAGCGGTCCGTGGTCAGTTAACTAGACTGCCAACATATCTTACTTAAATGGATTAATTAATACTTAAGTTAATTTTTATAATGATTAATGAAAAAATGGAATATTTTATTTGATTTAACATTACTATTTGATTTTGTTTGACTCAGAATACAATTGCCTTAAAACAAAATAATTATTTTCACTGGAACTCGTTTTTATATTATTTTTATCTTCCGGACTCTATAGAAATTAACAGAATCCTGCTCTAATGTAATGAAAGCCTTAAAATATGCATGATTAAATATTTGTATTATCATCATAAAAACATTTTGTTAAAAAATAGTTTTTTGTTTTTGATTAACTTATTTAAAGTAATAAATGCATATACAAGTATATTTACCTTAGTAATTAAATAATGGAACATTTTGAACTAATAACTATTTTATTTATTTTAAAACACTGTACAATGTACATAAAATGTACTAATTATGATGTTATACACTATGCTTAGAATTTACTTAAAATTAATTTAATTTTCTTATAATTACCATAAAATTATAAAAAAAAATTCATAATTTATAAACATCTTAATATTTATGGTTTTCGTTGATAATATGTATTGATTCAAAAACTGGTTTATCATGAATGCAAGTATTATTTGAGAAAAACTTATCATTTTTAAACCATTGATTAAATAGCTTATAAATGTCTTCCTTTGTTTTTGGTTGTCCAATTGTTTTGCAATGTCTTACTGTTTCACTCTAAGTTATACAATTCATATAAATTAATTAATTAATTTTTATGACATAAAAAAATATAAATAAATAATTAGGAACCTTCAGATAATGGATCACTTTTAATGGCCGGCAACTATATAAATTATTTTCTTGTTTCAATTGCATCAATTCTAAAAGTTGTTTCAGTTCCTCAGCACCGTATTTTGATATGTGTAAAGCTACACCAGTAATGTTTATATCAGCATTTTCTGAATTATCTATATGGTTTAGAATTTCAGTTTTTATTATATTTATTCCATGATATATCACCGTTGTAATTACCAATAAACTCAATAACAACATTAAAACCATTTTTAACTATTCGTTCATCAGTAATAGTACATTTATCAGTGGATAGTTCATATGAATTATCTAGATCCATAAGGAAACGATAATTTTTTTCACCTAAATATCTGGAACAAAGTAGGGACATACATTTCAAATTTACATTTTTTTTTTTCAAAATTATCTTGAACTCCATTCAAATAGCCTTAAAATTGTTTGTAATTATAATTTTAATACAATAATATAATATTGTTAAATATTTAATAGTAAAAAAATATATTATTTATTAAATTATTAATTACTTTTTATTGGTTTTAATTGATTGGTCTAACATTTTAAGTGGAATTTCATCATTTGCCATTTTTAAAAAGAAAACTACAGCTTCTTGAAGACGACATACATTTACAGCTTTTATCTCATTATGTATACAACAAATCCAATTATTATCCTTCACTTCTCCAATAAGTATGTATGGAGACAATGGACTATATTAAAAACAATATGTAAAATTATATTGAATTAAAAAAAAAAATCATAAACATTTTACAAAATAAATATTTTTGTTGATATAAATTATTTTAATGATAATGTAGAAAGTTTATAAGAAGAAAGAAAAGATTTTTATAACGCAAATCAAAAAATATCAAAAATAATCCGATATTTAGAAGTGTTTATGTTGAAAAAACTCAAAATGTCAATATTTTGTTGTTATTTTTATTACTTCAATACATTTTTTAAAATATAGTAATTTTAAGCAAATTAAATATTACAATTTTTTGCTAAAAATGCTTTTATTGGTACGAGTACCTAAATAAAAACTTTTAGGGGAAAAGGCGACAAAAGATACAATTTTATAGTATCCCAGTATTATTTTTAGTTTTACTTCATTCAAAATGATTCCCCAAAAGGAACATTTTCATTAACTTTTATGTTGGGAATTAAAACAATTTAATTATAATGACACTTCATATTATAAGAGAATTTTTAAAGAATTATCTGTTCTGGAAGTTAAAGAACATTTAGAGTTATAGAATTTTGATTTAAAGTCTTGCATATAAGATTGTTAAAGTTGATTTTCAATTAATTTCTCAATAAATTATAATATACATTCAACATAACACTTACAGTACTTTCGGCTTCTCAAAAATATTTTTTTTAATTTCAGAAAATTCTACGTTGATTAAGGTAGAAAATCTTTTAAGATTTTTAAAGATAAATTGGAAAGATTTTTTTGGTAGTTCAGTATCTCTTTTAGCAGTCATTACACAATTTTTTTGTTTATTTGCCAATTCCTTATATTTGGCTTTTTCATCTGCACTTAAACAGCTCCACGATTTGGCAAGTTCTTTGCTAACTTTAGTAAAATCCATTCCAGGGTTTTCTTCAAGAACTATATTGAATAACAAGAAATATTTAAAATATTGCTTATATCTACTTTAAATCTTGTCTTTTATTATAGTAAATACTTTTTATTCTTTTTTCTTTAGCAAATAATGTAAATCCTGACATTTCTTTATTTCCCATTTGACTACTAACACTACGTACAGTTTCACTAAGGTCTTCTTCAGGAACATCTAAAATACACAAATAATTAAAATTTAATAATTTTATTTTGATAACTATAAACCTTAAAATTAAATTAGTAATTATTACTTACTATCAATGTAAATAACTTCTTAAGAGAAAATTCTTCTATACCCGTAATACAATACTAATATTTATATTAATTTGTGTAATTTATTAATGATATAATAAAAAAAATAATACTTCAATTGTTATAAATAATATTTTAAAATGTTTAATATGTTTCAGTTATACAGTATATTTCATTTAATAATATACAAAACATAAACTAATGAAATAATAGTACCTCGTAATGGTCTTTTTGATCTAGGTTGAAGTGTCCAAGATTGTGGACGATTAACCAAATGGTTAAGACCAGGAACTTGTTCATCAGGAACAGAGACCGTACGGAAAAGAGGAGCAAGTTTTACAGTACTATTCAATGGAGTATCTGAAATACTTTTATTAGAATAGACTGGAAAAGTATTTTTTACTTCTGCATTTAGTTCATCTTTTAGAGATTCTAAAAACAAATATTTATATTTCATTGAGATTATTAAACATATAAAATAAAATAAATTTAATTATATTATAACAAATAGTAAATAATTACCAGAAGTATACTTAGAATTAAGGACTTCGCTAGTTTTTTCAATTTCTGGTATTGTCTCTTTTTCTGATGTTGCATGTGAAAAATCAAATTTTATTGATACTCCGCTCTATAGCAATTTTTTTAATTCATAATTAAAATAGTAACTCATAGTTAAATTATTTGTTAAGATAACTCAAATAGCTAAAACATAACTAACAATAAATAAAAATATATACTAAAAGTACCTTCAATAATTTTCCGTTCAAAACCACATCACCTTTACTCCATTGAGAAATTGATATATTTTCAGCATCAAAATTTGTAACTTTTGTGTTATCAGATTGGATAGTTTTTAAAGGAACAGTTGTTCTAATATTCATTAATTTTTTATGATACTCTGTAATATTATCAGTTCCTTCTAATTCATTATTTTTTGAGTAAATTATGTTATCATTTTTATTTTCTTTTAATGTTAATGGTTCTTCAAAATCAATCTCTTCTAAGCTCAATTCCTTAATAATATGGTCCTCGTCGCTGAATTCATAACTTTCATTAATAATTTTAGTCGATTCAGCATTTAGTCTACAAGAATCAGAATCTTCAATTGCAGATTTTTTTACTTTGATTTCATCTGAATCAAAAGATATTTTTCTTTTATTTTGATTCAATTGAATTTCATTAGTATTTAGTTGAATATTCTGTACCCCATCATCATAAAAATGTTTGGTAATGCAGTTTTTAATATTGAGTATGATCATTTCCTAAAAATTTTAATTTAGTTAAGTTTAATAACCACAATAGTTTTTGTTTTAATTACTTTTATTGATTTTATATATTAAACTTAAGCATACTGATAGAAAGCCTATCATTTTGCATTATAATATAAAATGTATAATGCTATTGAAATTATGTAAAAAAAAATGTTCACATATTACACTGAATATTCAATATAGGTACTGAACCTGATTGTGAAATAATATTCGAGATTTATCTGGTTCCAAATTGATATCAATAGTTTCAGCAGGAATAGTAAGAGATATGAAACAAGGCAAATATTTACCAGGAGGTAATTTATGACCAAAATAATTACTAAATTCTTCTGCAATAAGCTAAATTATTTATAAAAAAAAAAAATGAATAAGTAAATAAATAAATAGTTAAAATTATATTGTTTCATTAATATATTCTTACTTTTTCAATTTTATTATCTCTGACAGGTCTCTTGTTAACATATAAATAAATTGCATCAGTAAGATTTGTTGTAAAAAAACAATTTTGTAAATCTATGTTTTGAATTGGTAAAACTATATCAATTTTAATCTAACAGGATTAAATTGTTTTAATATCACAAAATGTACAAGATAAACAAATAACCTATCAATAATATTTAAAAAAACTTACCTCTTCATTTGAAAATGACAATTGCTTTACATATTTAGTCATTGATGATGACCAAATTTGCCCAAATGTCACAGTTAAATCATTAACTGGAGTCATTTGCCATAGCACAGATTTGTTATGAACTAATGAAACACGTATGTTTTGTTGAATAGCGGCTAATGATTTAACAATATTTTCTATTCTACGTAAATCATTAGTGCAGTGTTTTTTTGAGTTATAAATCTGTTTTCGAACTGGTAAATTTTTAAACAGATTAAGTATTTTAATAACTGTACCTACAATGAATAAAATTACTATCAATTATTAATTATTTATGTATTAAATACAAGTAATACTAAATATTAAAAATTATCATCGTAAAAAATTAATCTTAGATAAAATATACCAACCCTTTTGATGATGACTTATTGAACTACTTTTCACATGGCCATTTTTATCCATAGTAAACAATTTAGCATAATTATCCAATTCTGATTTTGTTATAATGGTAACATCAGCTACAGCACATACAGAACTTAGAGCTTCACCACGAAATCCATATGACTTCAGCTTATCTAAATTTTTTTATGAAAATAAATAAATATCAACTACATTAAATACAAATTTCGAATTAGGAAACATTTTTCTATTATATTTAAAATTAACTCAAAAAAATTATATTAATATATTTTATCATATTTTTAGACAAATTTTATTTTATATATTTTTAAGAAAATAATTAAAGGAGATGTTGGACACGTCATAAAATTATGATCCAGGACAGAACACATCACTTAAATAAAGAATAATATAAATAAAGAAAAAAGCAAGGACCTGAAATAATTAATCTACAAAACAGATGTATTTGCAAAAATAATTTAAGGATGAAAAAAAAAATGTCTGCCATCTGAATAATTTTGGACTGGTTTTTTTAATCAATCTGAGTTTAGTTAATTATTTCAATATATTTTTGAATTTAATTTGGTTATACAATTGTTAGTTAAAATTGTTTATTTCCCAATCTAAGCAACAACAAAAATTATAGTTTAGTACCTTCATTTTCAATCTACTAGGTACTAATGAATATAAATATGGTATATATATTGCAAACCTAAATCTGATATATCAGATATTTTTGATGTATAACCACGCAAACACATCATGTGCACATCACTGTGTGAAATCCCAACGCCATTGTCGTGTATTTCAATCTTGTCTAGCCCATAGTTTTCCTAATCAGAGAAATTTAAAAACAAAAAGTATACACATTAGAAGTTGTACTTTTTCGTACATCACATTAGTTATTATGATTATTATTGTACCAAACGAATATTAACAGTTGTAGCATGAGCGTCTATAGAGTTTTCCAATAATTCCTTGACTACCGATGATGCAGATGTAATGACTTGGGTGCTACTGATCAATCTTATAGTATCCGGTGGCAATTGTTTCAAAGACATGGTTAACGTAGATTTTTACATATCAGAATAACAACTATATTTCATATTTCGATCAACGTCACGTACTCTCGGAGACCTAGTAACTAGAAGACAAATGCCAAATGCCCATCATTAGTATTGAGCCAAGGTGGATTGTGTCGATTGTGATAATGTGTAAAAAAAAATTGATAGCTTTAAATTTTAAAAAGGCGCAATTGCTTATCAGTTTATCGCAGTCAAAAAGTTAGGTTAAAGATGATAATTTAAACCATGATTAGAAGAAGAGTTTTATCATTGATTATAGAATAGATATAATAATAAATAAATATAATTAATAATAATAATCTATTCTATAAACAATGGTTTTATTAATTATTGTTCCATATTATCCATAGAGTAATGTTACTCTATGGCAGTGTTTCCCAACTTCTTTTACTCGCGGAACCTTAGCAGGAGATTGAACGTTTTGTGGAACCCCAATATTTTTTCTATAATATTAATACAGACATATGTTTTGTATACTTTAAATGAGTGGGTTACCGGACACTTCCGGCACAAGAGTGTCATTAATATAAAAAAAACAAGACGGCTTTAACATTTTATTTTGTTTATTACTATTACAATATTATAAATGTACTCGTACATATCAAAGCTTAAAATTTAATATTTATCTCTCATTACCTCTAAGATAGATTCAATGAGAAGAATGGAATCTTTTCATAACTGTTTTTAAATTTGGAGTTATTCCTGAAAGTTTGATTCATAAGTCCGGAGCCGCGTTCAGTTAATTTTGAAACTTATTCTTAGTCTTTGTACACACCGAAAAGCTACAAACTATGCACCACACATCGGGAAATGTGTCAATTCCAGTTCTATATTGAGTTCTATGTTCAAATCAAAATATTGCTAATTAATTTATATTTTCCCAAATTTCTCACGGAACCCTACGCTCAAGTTCACGGAACCCTTAGGTTCCGCGGAACACCAGTTGGGAAACACTGCTCTATGGTATTATCATAGAATATAATATTCTAGGAGATTATTATAATTTTGTGGCAGAGATGAAAAGTTTGATTCGATTTAAGGTAGTTCATTAATTCTCAGTACTCCGAAATGAATTGTTCAAATAAACTGTTATTTAGTCTAATCGTCTGGACATTCACTCCCAAACTAAAAAAAACATTTTTTAGAGTTTATAAGTATTATAAAAAATTGGTATATAATATTACATAAGACTATACGATTATTACTTTATATATTTAGTTCAACTTCCTCCAAAAACTGCATAAGAACGTAACTATTACAATATAATAAATAGTTTATATTAATTATGTATAAACTGTGGACCCAACCCCCCAGAAAAAATTGAAAATACGCCACTGGTGAAACGTATAACTTCTGAAGCATTTAAATCTGAGTCTGAACCGAAATTTACTTCTCCCCTCAAAAACATTCAATCGTATGAAGTATATGACTGATATTGACGATTTTTACATAGACATAATACGGAGAACGGTGCATGCATTTTATGAAAATTTTGAGTGCAAAACTACAAATGTTAAGGTCTTATAAAAAAAAAGCAGGTTATAGATACCTAGTGGGTTTAGAACTTCATTGTAACGAATTTTAAGATCATTAAATTTTAAATATCAAAAATCTAATGACAGCAGACAATTTATCATGGAACAGAAAGATATTATTGATTTACGCATATTTTTACGTAAAATGTGTAAACTTCGTCCAAGTAATGAGTCATTGCTAATGACACTCAACCCATAGTTTGCTTGGATGAAATAACCCAATGTTCCCCTTGTATTTAACAAATTAAGTTTCAATATTTACTGTAATAATGATAAACCCTCAACATCTAAAGACTTAGGTGTAATCATGGGCATTGCTAAGATTTGAATCGGGGGGGGGGGGGGCATAAAGCGATTAGTGTTAAACTTAAAATTCAAATAATCTACAGATAAACCATTGGATAACACATAAAACGTCAAAACGATTACACGTGTAGATAACACTCGGTCCCACTAAAAACTATTTTTAGATATATTTAATATTTGATTTTAATGTAAAACTTACACGTTTGGTATAAACAAATAGAATTCAGTTTGATGCGCAATGGGGACAAGTTCTACCCCTACCCCACCCTCGCTACGCCCATGATTGTAATAATTAATTTATTGGCCACTTATCACATAAATTATCACATGAACATGATTCTTTGACTAAGGATCTGATTAAGCCGTAAAACGCAGTCAACATATGCAATATCTATTTAATTGGAATATAATTATGAATATTTTTACACTAAAATTTAAAATAATGTATAAAAAGTTGATTAATATTAATACAAAATTCAACATTTAAAATTGGCAAGAATATAATCTTAAAAACAAATTAATAAATCATAAAACAAATTAAATAATAAAATCATCATGATAAAATAATAAATAAACGATACATAAAAAATACATTTTTTAACAATTTCAGAATACGAGATCAACATAAATAATTATACACAAAATACAAAATATAAATATAAGTTCAAAATAAATCTAGTAAATTGCTTGGTCTTCCAGTGACTTCCCATACAGTAGCTGATAATCTCCGAGAATGTTCTAAAACGCATGAAGCAGTTGCTAATCCCAAATGCACACAAAAAAGTTCAAAACAACGCACTTTTCCTTTAGGCATTCTAGGGAAACATTGTTCCAAAAGCTTCCTGAAATATTACAAAAATTATTATAGTATAATAGTTAATACATTTTAAAAAATAAGCAAATTTTACTCACTCATAATAATCTCCATTTAATATTCCCGGAAATAACTCGGAGGCCATAGGTTGTACTCTTGGTTTTAATGATGTACCCTATAGTAAAAAAAATAGTAATACAATTTTTAAGAAAAATAAATCATACTAAATTCTAAAAAATGATAGTTCATTAGAGATAAAATTTTAATAAATAAAAAATATTTTTAGTTAGTAAAATTTGTTTATAGAAAATGAACACTAAGAACCTTAGTTCTCAGAAATTAACAACTCATCCAATTTTTTATTTCTGTTTTAAGTTTTTAATGTGGATAATTTATTATTTTTAAATATATTGAATATTATATTCTGAGAAATTTTAAAGATTTTTGAAAATAATATGACATAAAAGATTTTAAACAAAATGTAAAACTAATTCAAGAAAGGAATTATTTCCAAAACTAGTTAAATCTGTCTACAATATTCCATTCCTGAATTTCACCAGACAGAATTGTTATATAATTGAATAATTTTTAGATTTTATTAAATTTTATCATATATAAAAATTAAAAATTTAACAATATCCTTATACTAAAATAACTTAATTTTTATGCATACATAAACAATCTTAATCAATTTTTAAATTGCCAGTAAATAACTGAATTTAAAAAGATTAATAAAATCAGTACTACAAATACATTTTTAAAAGTACAAAATATCAATAAAATATTTAGTTTACATACCGATTGATCCTCAAACCATAAAAAGTAGGAATATGTAAAAGTATTATCTTTCCAAAGAACAATAAAATGTCCATCTCTTAAATGTTGTCGACTTACTTCAATCATGGACCATACCTAAATAAAGTATAATAATTAAGAATATAATTTATAAATACATAATTTACAACTATAAATACGTCTAGTATATTCATTAATTTACCTTCTTTTTAGTAAGCTCAAGAGTTTCGGGTGAAGCGAATTCTAAACCAGGAGCAATCATACGATGAGACATTCGATCTACATAAATGAAATGTACAAGACCTGGAAATTCTTCTAAATATTTATTAATATTCAAAGTTGACCTAGTATAGTAATTGAGTCAAGGAAAATAATATAAAATAAAATATAAAACACAAAACTAATTATTTAATATAATTGTTCATTGCTTTGATAATTATTCTACCACTTGAACTATTCATCCACAGCAGCTTATTACATAATTTTGCGTCAGTAAATATTTATCCATAATGTTTATTATAAAATAAATATAAATTAAATTAATCATACTATTTTTAAATTACAGAAAACTATAATTTTAACATATATTTAACAGCCATTAAATGTACATGGTGCAATGTTTAAAAGGATATGATCTCATTGTAAAATTGTTCATTGCTTTCACTTCAAAAAATGTAGAATAATCACGTAACATAACAGCAACCAAAGCAGAAGCATCACTCACTGCTTCTTTGGTGTAATTATCAATTAATGATTCATTAAGCATACAATGATGATGAAGATCTTTTAAACTAGATATGATATTCATATTGCTCGATTCTATTGCATTTAAATTTGTATTTTCATTATTTTTAAAATACTCAAGGTATTTCCTAAATAATTAAATAATAAACATTATAAATGAAATTGGAATTTTATTTTATTTATTTATTCATGGTACTTTTTTAATGGTTCCCATCTAGTTGCTAAAGTAGTGATTATAGCTAAAACACTTCGAGTAGGTGCAAATGGAGCATTTTTCTTTTTAAACAAATCAATAATCTTTTTCATAGAGCTATCAACTATATCATATTCAACTTTAAGTGCTTCACGATCCATAGTTCCTCGACTTTGTATTTCTTGGATAGTACAAAACGATGTCAATGAATCTATCACACTACTATTAAATACCTCATTTCCAATCTAAATAACATAATAATAATCAATAAAAACTTTTATATTTTTATTTAAATACTATTAAAATTAAATTTTACTTCATGAATAATGAATAATGAAACTCCTTCAGTAATGTATGATAAATGTACAGCATTTAATTTCAATCCATGTTGACCCAAAAGAACCAGTAAGCTGTTTATTTTATTCCGAGGTAATGACGAATCTTAATACAAAATAAAATAAATAAATTATCTTAATGCCATACAAATATTAACTTTTTAACGAATATAATTACCATTTTCTATTTTAGGTAAATTTTCTTTTTCAATTATAATTACATTAAGATCAGATTTATCTTTAGGTTCAGAATCAGCTACTTGTACAGCTTCAGCTAATAATGCTAAAAATAATGTATCGCCCGCAGATAAATCAGTTGCATTACGACTAAAATACATTTTAAATTTTAAAATAATAAAAATAATTGATTTGATAAAAGTTATATAATTACCTAGAATATAAAGTTAAAAATTTTTGTCGAACCATAATAAGTATATGTACTCTGGAAAAAGCAGATTTTGTTTTCATTTTTTCAGCTGCTGTTTTAGCTGCTGTTAATGCAGCAGTAGAAAGCTCTATACTAACAGTTAGTTGTTCAACGGCTTCAATTATTACACATTGTTCTTCATTTGAACGTTTAAGCCAAGTATCTAGAAGTTTAGAAACCAAAAAACGGCGACGACGACTATACTTTAATCTATTAAATAAATTTCATCCATTAATTATACATATATTTATAATCAAGAATTTTAAAATTGTATACTGACAATGAAACATCAGATCCACAAATTCTTTTTATAAATAAAATAGTCACGCTAAGTACTTTTTGTTGCCAAGATATTTCTTTATCTCCAATATAAATAAATAAATGACCCAAATACTACAAAATAAAACAAAATTGTACGATACATACATATATAAATAAATATGTGCTTCATTTATTAAATTATAAATTTGTTACCTCATCAAAAACAATATTTGTTCCATTTTCACACTGCATTGAACTGTATCGATTAGAAAAATGGCAATTCATAATTCTTTGAGAAGTAACCATTGGTGAAAAAATTTGAAGTATTAAGTCTGGATCAATTGTTTGACAGTCTTCTTTTTCATTCTTTAACATTTTGTTATGATAAATAAATATTAAAATCAAAAACACAAATAAATGTTTAAAAAATTTTCATATTTATATAAAAAATTTATAAATTTAATGTTAATTCTTAAGTGTAGAAAAAAAAAACATTGTAAATTATTTTAGTTACCAAAAATATAGTAATTGCAATAAATTAGTTCAATTTATAACCCAATAAAAATATAATCAAATAAGTAATAACCTCTGTTGGTTTAATAAGGTCCTGAGAAACTCCAATTTTTCTAATATGTTCACAAAACGTTGTGTCACATTTCATAAAAACTATATCATTTAAATTATCGAACACCATTAAACACCTCATGATTATTCAGAAAATATTTTTTGAAATTTGTTTAAAATGGAATTGTTTAAAACAAAACACGTCGGATATAAGAAATAATTTTACTTCGAAAAATTACGTAACTCGAAATTATATATCACTATGTACGTAATTTAATTAATGACTAATGAAGAAATCAAAATTCATAAGATTCAATTTCGATATTGATATCAATTGTGTCGAAACTTGGGTAAATATAAATAATACATTTATATTTAGTTATTATGAATAATAATAATAATGACAGATGAAATGTAATGTTTGTAAGTTATCCATCATTGAACTTCATAACAAAAACTATGAAAATTTACCAAAATATACCCTCTTATCACTTATCAATCATCCTACATTTTTAACTTGTTGTCAACAGTAGCGAATCTAAGATTATATTATGGATACTAATTTGGTAATAATAATACTCATAGGAACTTATAATTATGTAATATGTATACAATTATACTACGATAAGGGGAAATTATGAACATTATTCTTAATTTAATTGCCCAGTTGTGATAGTAATTATTAGTACATATACATACACGTACAAATACGTGTTAAGTTTATAATATCCAAGTAATTTGTTCGTTTATAATACAAAAATAAAGTTTATATGTATAGAATGGTGGGTGCCAAGTACACTGCCACAAACCCGCCACTGGTTATAGATTCTAATTAATGTAATCTACCATTTTCCTGTTACCCATTAATTTCTTTTTTTTTTATATGGTGACCAATTAATGTATTCATATGATAAGATTATATGAAAACCATTACGATTAAGTTGTGATTTTCTAAATTTTCTTCGAAAATAACAAATTTAGACGATTTTACAAGTATGAATATTTAAATATTACCTATATATCCGTAAAATATTAGGATACACACTATAAACACTGAATATGTATATCACATAGAAGATGATTATTGATTTTTATTCATAATGGTTGAGACATTGATAAAATATAATAGATCAGTGGCGCCCAAAGATTTTCCATGAATCAGTGCAGTTATAATAATAAGGCCCCCAAATTTATTTTGGTCTACATCCATATTCGTATCCATATTTCATATTCATTTGATTGAAATACATTTTTTTCCCAAATGCATGTTTACCTTAAATAAATTTAAAAGTATTGCAAATTCCTGTACAACATTTTTATAAATGTGGTTTTTTTTAATAGGGGTTTAAATTTAAAACTGTACAATAACTTAATAATAAAAGTAATGTAATATTCAATGATAATCTCGTATAAAGATCCGTTAAACCAAGTTCACTCGAACTAATTACACGTGTAAATCCAAAACATATGACTGCATAGTTGAAAATTAGGGAAAAAATGAGTTTAGGTTTTAATAATCGTGCAACGCTGCATTTGAAATCGTGCGAAATCGTTTACATATATATATATATATATATATAAAATTTGCGGAATCGTAATGTAGCTGTTTTATGCAATGGTGTAGAAAATGTATGGCGAAATCTGCCTACACCAAGGACTCAAATTATGAAGGATCGCAAAACTGTACGTACTACTAATATAAAACTTTAAAAAACAGAATATAATACAATCTCAAAATATGAAAATAAACTAAATAAAAATATCGAACAAAAAGAATCTCTGAGGTTGGAATTGTTTACTTTATTCCAACATATCCAATAGTGTTTCTAGAACGTTTTTAAAAGAGGCGAAAACTTCTGAAAAATATTCGTATTATGTATTTCCTAATATGATATACATAATAAATAACAACATTTTGAAGAAAGCCACCGGGTGGGGGAGCGACTGTCCATTCACCCCTTCCTTGAGGATACCCCTGTACATGTCTGCTATAGTAAAGAAATATTGAGTTTTATTTAGTCCGTGTGTAGGTACGTCAAATAATAAGAGGGAGGCTATTAAAGCGGTTCTATGGAAATCCCAATTAGTTTTTAAATTATTTTTTGTTCTGTTACAATACGAGGATATATATTTTTAGCTTTCATGAAACATGGTTTTCACAACAATGTTGCGGTGTTTTATTAAAAAAAAAAAATGTCTACAAATTTCTAATGTGAAATGACACAATACTTCTTCTTCTTTGGCTTTTTACAGGCCTTTAAGGCCCATTGCCGCAACAACATATTGTCTCCTATCTTCTTTTGTGCCGTTTCTTCAGCATTCCTTACTCCCAACATCTTCAGGTCTTCTTTTATGACATAATACTACTTAAACATAACTATCCCGAAATCGTATTAATTTGTAGAAGATAAAAATTAACATCACGTAAAGAAATGGTACAGCGATAGCCCAACTTCATCGATAAAGTTCATTTATCTGTCAATTATCTGTAAATTACAAATTACAATAAATAATGTAATGTAGTAATACATTACAAATTATTAGCTGCGTGATAACGCCAATGCTCATAACCTTCGACCATATAAACTAAGTATATGACTAGTTTATATGGTCGAAGCTCATAACACAGGATAATGAGTTGTTTTCTTAAGTTTTTCGTTTATTTTTTATTCCATGACAAATCATAACCAAAATGGCCGAGTATTTTGATAGCATAATGGGTGATGGTTGGGTGGTTTGTACGTTAAAATTTGAAAAGTTAACGAATAACGGCCTGTCGAGTACGTCGTGGATTCTACGATAAACATCAATTGTATTATATTATTTGTTTATTGTTGATTTCACACTTGTTCTTCACAGTTATTATTATTTTTACCTTGTTAGTGTTTTAGTATGCTTATTGCTATTGGACAGTAGTGGTTACTGATTTGGATATAGTGTTTTAAGTACATTGCCTTTTGTCATTACGTTTTGAGAGAAATGAATTTTGTTTATAAACTTATGTTTTGTTTTTTTCTCTAATTTCCACGCGTTTTTTTACAATATACTTACACTAAGTTATTTTACAATTTTTTTCTCTAAAAAATTGAATTGCCTTCTAAGTTAACAATGGCTGATCACTATATTCAAAAAAAGAACTCGCCTAATGAAAAACCTATTGAAGTTTTCGTCAGAGTTAGGTAAATAGCTTTATGTATTAAATAATATCCTTAAGTATAGTTAAGTATAATGTACCTAATGTATGTTGCTACATATAATTTTTGTCATTCACATAGTAATTTTGTAATATGTAAGAACTAAATATCTATTTATTTTTTTGTGGATTAATGCATTTATATAATTTAAAGTAATTTAGATGTAACAATTTATCTTTAAATTGATTAACAAATTTGGATGTGGGAAATAAAACAAACTATATATATTTGCATACCTATTACTTTGCTTACATAAATAACTTAAATTTTAATGATTTGTGGTAGTATAGAATTATAAAAGGTCAAACTACATGTAAATTAATTTATTATATATTTAAACTATTATTTATAGGAAACTACAGTTGAAAAGAAAAACTTAACTTTGTATATATTTGTTTAGAAGTAGATTGATGTGTACATTACCCTATATCTACTTTTTATTTTTTAAATCTAAATTCTAGATTATCAAATATTAATTTTAATTTTTGTAATTTAAAGACCTATGAGCGATGGAGATAAAAGTAAAGGCTTACCTGTTGTGGATGTTTCATCTAATCATAAAGAAATAATAGTAACAGAAAAAACCGTTTTAGCCGATCGTCGAACTAAAACATTTCATTTTGACAAAGTTTTTGGACAAAATTCAAAGCAGGTATTTATTCAACACTTTTTTAAGACTAACATGCCTTTATTTGAAGATAAGAAAAGGATTATTATAGTTCAACTATCTATGCACAATTTACTTTGTTTTTCCAGATTTCAAAACTTATTTATCTAAAATATCTTTATTGCTTATTACATTAAAATATTTCTTTTAGGTTGATGTTTATAATAGTGTTGTATATCCTTTAATAAAAGAAGTATTAGATGGTTACAATTGTACAGTTTTTGCTTATGGACAAACTGGAACAGGAAAAACATTTACTATGGAAGGTGAAAGGTTAAATGGACAATCATCAATATCTTGGAATAAAGTATGTATTAATCTGTTGTAATTAAAGTCAATTTTAAATAAATATATTAATTTAGAGTAAAAATGTAGTGAATGAAAAGATTATGTATGTAACACATGTTAAAATCATTTTTAAATAAAATGTATTTTGTGGTTTTGGTTTATTATATGAATAAACTATATTTTATAATTTATGTCAATTAATAGTAAATACATTACTATAATTTTTCTAAAAAAGACCTCATACAATTGTTTTAATTTTAATAATTATTACTAATGGTAACAATAATTACTGACAAATATAATAATATTATATCTCAATTCATAAGAATTTTGTAAGAATTATAAATTGAATATTTATTTTTGGATTCAAGATACTGTTATAAGTAGATAAGACTCAGGTATCGGAGTAAGAAAATAAAAAATATAAAAATATATATCACTCCTCTGAGTATGTTTATACTTATGATTTTATACATTTCAGAAACACATGTATTATTCATTTTTTATGAGTTCAATAACTTTATTTACATAGTACATACTTTATTTTTACATATATGAATCATCGTTAAATTTGTTATTGTAATGATTTTAGGACCCAGTTTCTGGAATTATTCCACGGGCTTTGAGTCATATGTTTGATGAATTACGACTATTACAAGTTGAACATACAGTTAGAGCATCATTTTTAGAACTTTATAATGAAGAAATTTTTGATCTTCTATCTTGTTCAGAAGAACCATCACACAAATCTCTTAGGTAAAAACAAAAATAAAAACAAATTAATCTGTGTTTATAAATATTTTAATGAAGTTATAAAATGCAGAATTTTTGAAGAAAAAAAAGGATCTGTAATTGTTCGTGGTTTAGAAGAAGTAATAGTTGCTAACAAAAATGAAGTGTACAAGTTACTAGAAAAGGGTTCAAAACGACGTCAGACTGCTGCAACTCTAATGAACTCTCAATCTAGGTAATAACTTACCTAACCTTATATATATATATAGCTAACCTTATGTTCTTACATTTTCCTATATAAATATAATCATATGTTTGTTTTAGTCGTTCACATACAATATTTACCATAACTGTTCATATAAAAGAGTCTACAATTGAGAATGAAGATATTGTTAGAGTTGGTAAGTTAAATCTTGTAGACTTGGCTGGTAGTGAAAATATTGGGCGATCAGGTGCAATTGATAGACGTGCTTGTGAAGCTGGCAATATTAATAAGTCTTTGTTAACACTTGGTCGATGTATTACGTCACTTGTAGAACAAACACCCCATGTTCCATACAGGTAAATTTTTAAATAAAATATAATTTAATTTAAATGTTAATGTATATTTATAATTTTAAAATTTTTTCTCAGAGAATCTAAACTTACTCGTTTATTACAAGATTCTTTAGGAGGTAAAACTAAAACGTCTATAATTGCTACAATATCCCCCTCACACTGTAATTTGGAAGAAACAATGAGCACATTAGATTATGCTTCTAGAGCTAAAAGCATTAAAAATAAGCCAGAAGTTAATCAAAAATTTACAAAAAAAGCATTAATCAAAGTAAAGTTGTTCATTTTAAATTTTAAGATTTAGTATTGAAAATATTAATTATTTATTTTAGGAATATACTGATGAAATTGAAAAACTTAAGCGAGATTTGGTTGCTACTAGGGATAAAAATGGAGTGTATGTAGCTGAAGAAAATTACAATGATATGGTATTAAGATTAGAAAAAAATGAGTTAGATATTTGTGAAAAAATTGCTACAATAAGAGCTGTTAATGATGAATTAAACAAAAAAGAAGTATGATTTCATTAGTTTAATAATTACACGAAAAAGCATGTATTTATCAAATAATGTGTATCCTTTTATTCAAGGAAATAATGAGAGATTTAAAAATGGATTTAATAAGAACAATGGATGAACGTGACAGAAGAGATAGTCTTATTGTTAAACTTGATAAAGAAGCTACAAATTTAAGATTTTTAACTGAAATTTATGAAACTGATATGAAGTTACTTCATGACAAAATAGAACGCACTGTGTATGTACATATAATCTGTCTATTTTCATTTTTACTGTACTAAAATTATACATTTTAACAATTAGAGATGTAGAAAAATCTAATGAATCTGCACTTGAGAGGTTGAAAAAACGTGTTCAAGAAACAAATAATTCATTTTCAAACACATTATCATTATTTGAAAGTAAAAATAGAGAATACTTAGATACACAAAATAAACTCAATGGTAAATTAATAGATTATTTGGTAATAGTTCAGATAATAATTTAAATTATTTTAGATGATATGCTACATCAAAATTCTTCTCTTGAAAATGACCTACATATTGTCCTCAATAAGTTGAATGATCATAGTAACACAACTGTAAACATTTTTTCAAATATAAAGGAACAAGTAATATTTTTTTTTTTTTTAACAAAGTTTTTGTAAATTGATTTTTGCATCATCATTAAATGATTTATTTTACAGGTAATGGATGTTTTGAAATGTGTTGAATTTGGAAAAAATGAGTTAAATGAAAAAATTAATAATTTATTAAAAGAAATGCAAATATTAGAATCTAATATTTTAGAGAAATCTGAGACGATAAGTGTTGTTAGTACAACAATGGATTCATATCATAATGCAATATCCACACACATCAATGAGGTACTTTTTTTTATTTTCAACCTAATTTTATAATCTCAATAAGATATAGAGAAAAATTTATATAAAAAACATTTTTTAAATATTTCTATTTTATAAAAAATTTTAATTTTCTCTTCCGCATAATACTTACAGTAAAACCTTATAACAGAATTTCTTGGAACTAATTTTTCCATGATGGAGTTTTCTTTAAAGGAATAAAAAGAGTTATATTAAAAAAACAAAATTAAACTTATGTACATATCATTTCAATACCACATTAATTTTAAGGAACGTACATATTAAATACATGTTTTTTTAATTTATATATTTTTATTTCATTTCATAAAATTAGATTTCTGATTTCTAGATTTATGTAAATTTCAATAAGAACAAAATTGCAATTTAAAAATCATGTCTTCCATTGTATTGGAAGAAGGTCTATTGTTTAAAAGTCTTACAATAACAATAACTGTATTACATATGTATTAAAATTTTGTATTTGACAATTTTTATTTTCAAGTATATTAAAAAAAAAAAAAAAATTACTTTTATTTATTAACTTTAAATTGAATATATAGATAACTTAAGTGCGACAAATATTATATCCCTTTTTTTTCTGCAAATTAAAATGTATAATGAATAAATTAATGTACTAAATTATATTTTATATAATATATATAGTTCATAAACTTTAATTATTGTAATTTTAATTGTATATTATTATTCTAGGCAAAATCTTACAGTAAAAATATAAATGAAATCATGTATGAAATGAAATATCGGTTGGATACACTAAATGAGTATAGTAAATCCATTGAAAACCTTTATGTTAATCATTTAAAAAAATGCTATGAATCTATGGATATTGAAAAACGTGAATCATTAAAGGTAAATTATAAATTAAATATATAAACAAACAATTTTAAATAATTATTATTATTTTTAGAAAATTCAAAGCATGAAGAATGATTTTGTAAACTTTACTTTAAAATGTGAACAATTCAATGCTCAATTCTTGGATAATATTAAAAATATTGAAGATACAAAATCTTATGATGAAATAATTGTAGATTTCAAAACACAAGATAATAAATTATCTGAAATGTTTACAACACAAAATAAGGGAATCCAAGATATAAAACCATGTTTAGTATCATTAGAAAAAGTTCATGAACAAAATTGTAATTTACTCCAACCTATTGAACATCTAATAGATGAGGTAATGCTGAAAAAAATTACTTCATTTCACATAATACTATTTATTTATTTTTTTATAGAGCCGTATATCAATGAATACTATATCTGATGGTGCTCATTTAAATAAACTAGCAGACAATTGTGGTAACCATGAAAAAATACTTGAAGAAATTGAAATTTCTATGAATAAAGAATTAAATAATTTTACTCAAAATATAAATTCACAAATGGAGATTGTCAACGATAATATTTTGGTAAAATTTCTTGAAAAGAAAAATTATTATAAAAAAAAATTAATATTTAATATATAATTTTTGTTTTAAGGAAACCACCAAAAATGTTTCTGAAACATACATTGATGCTAATAAATTATTGAGTAATTTTGGAAATGTTTCAAAAGAATTTCACACAAACTTCTCAATTCTCAAAGAAAAACAAGATGATTGTATAGGTACTGGAAGTTTATGTGTTAAAGAAGAATTTTTCAGGCAAGCAACCAATGTTACAATGTTTTTGAATGAATCTAAGCAATCCACACCATTAGGTATTATAGTCAATACATTAAAAACATATTTGTATATAGTATACCTCGGTATTTTTCACTTGCTTAATAATATTTTTAAAAGGAGATACACCTAAAAGAAGGCAATTGGAACATCCAGATTTGGTTAACACAACATTGAGACGTGAAATTACTCAAAACTATTTAGTTAATTTTTCTGAACAAGTAACAATTTCTTCACCTTCATCTACGGGTTCGAATGAATTTTCGTTAATAGAGTCTGAATCTAATTTACCTTCTAAAGAAAATAGCCCTGAGGCTAAAAACATAAAGGTAATTAATTTATATAAAATTTTTTTTTTTTTTTAACTATATGGTAAAATAATAAATAAAAATTATTTTTCAGAAACGCGCAAACAGAACTTTAAAAAAATCTAATAATATTTTGGTGGAACAAAATTGAATTGTGACTATGTAAAATTGCGTGCTAGACATTTTACAAATTTTAAAATAAATTCTTATGAAAATAATTTAATTATTATATTGTAAATAAAATTTATAGTTTTAATTTTTTTCAATCATTATTTTTCTTTGCTTTTTACTACAATACAATTTTGATTTATTTTTAACAAATTCTTAATTATACCTATTTATTATTTAATTAAAAAAAAACTAAATTTTTTTTGTCATGTTATTTGTAAAATATTTGGTTTGTTGCAATCAATTTTATACAAATGAAATAACTTGCATTTTTTAAATGTTTATAGCTTATTATTTTAATGATACTTTCTAATTTCATATTTAATTACTATGTGAAATTAGTTAGTTAAAAGTCTTCCACTTATGATATTTATTTCCTTACAATAAAATAAATGGTGCATTGTGTTTTAAATATTTTTTTTTATTTCTCCAATTTCATGAGGATTTGTGTACTCTGAATGTGTATTATCAAAATAGTACAACATGTTTATCAAAATTGTAAAGACAAATAATGTCAATATAAGTATCCTGTTTCTTTCCTTTTAGGCATTTCACATATCGAATTATAAAAAATAAAAAGCAAGGTATTCAAATTTCATATATATATATACTATCTGAATTTCTCGGTTTCACTTAGTGATTTTATTTATTTTAAATAATGTTATTAGAGCAATTACTATTTCAATGCATAAAAAAAACTATTTAGATCAATGACAATGAATTATTCTTGAGATATTTATTTGTATCATGTAAATTTACAACCAGTAAAATCAACATATTAAACAAAATAAATTCTATATTCTAGGTAATCAAAAAGTGATAACATTTACACATCCACTCTAAAGCACAGGATTGTTGTAATCAAATAATTTGCACAGAGCAAAACTTTATAATGCGCTCTTATGTAGTTAAAAACATTTTAATTATTAGATATTATTTTAATAAGTTTCTTTTAAGTTTTGTTTGGTAAGAGCAAAATATTCTACATATAGTTAGTATTAATATGTGATGCAGGGAATGATCATTGGAATAAAAAATTATATTTTCAATTATAGAATTTGAGAGTACTAGTTATTATAGTATTACACTAATTGGTTTTGATCTGTATAATTAATTATATATATATATATGTATATTTTAGTTTTATATATTTATTTATTAATGGAAGTAATTTCAATTAAAATAGTAATACGTACAATTTTAAATATAATAATGCAATATTAACAATAAATGGATAATACAAATAAAAGTGGTGATAACAATAATAATTAATGGCTTAATAGTAATAAGTTTATAGTTTATAAGAGAATAAAAAAAAAAATTATTAAATCTTTCTTTTAACATACATCATAAATGCCGATAAGGATTTATTAAAAAAATCTAGATCTTTCATTGAATTTCAAGCAAACATTAATACGTTTGATGATGAATTTAACGTATAATTTGTTCTGGTGTGTTTAAGAGCCCTCGCTTTAGCATTTATTTAAGGAACAACATTCAGGCAATTTCTAATTACATCGTCGCCACCCGAGGTCTTTGTGTTAGTTGTAAATAATTATTAGTGTGTGTGTGGCGTCAATGCGAATATCACTTCTTTCCGCACCATCATCCAGGTAGTCGTTCATTGTAATCGTTATCGCAGTATACCATATTTGATGAATTGTAGTTATCGAAAATTAGGTACCTACGTTTTGATGTACAACAGTAATAAATAATAAAAAAAAAATAGCTGCAAATAGTTTGCAGTGCAATGTCATTTGTACTATTATTTATATTATTTTGGTTCATGGTGGTCTCTTATTCCCTTTATGAAACCTGTTTTTTTTTCTTTTCCATAAAGGAATTTTAGTTTTAATTTTATATTTGGAATTCATTTTTCTAATTACAATAACTAAATAGTCTTCACAGAAGCAAACTGGGCTCGACATTTTTTTTAGCGTTCCGGTTCGTAAAAAAATAACGTTTATCCTTCCGGTTCAAACAAATTTTTAGTGTACCTACCATATTTTAGTAAAATTTAAACATTTTGCAGAATTGTTCATTGTAAAATATTTATTAAACGTCAAACGACCGCCATGCATAAGTACATTTATTGCTTATCTATACGATAATCGCCGACCGCCGATAGTGTATTTTAGCTTTATTTACACAATACGTATGTGAATTTTAAAAGTTAAAAATAAAGCATTATACCGGGTTCATACTATTGAAATTTCTTGTATGCTTTTTCCCGCATGCTTATTTTTACTCGTGCAAGAAAAAAATTGAATAAATGTGAAAGTTTATAATACGTAATGCGAGCTCTTGCATGCTCAAACTTGCATGAAGTCCAACACGTCGGACAGAAGTTGAATGCAATTAAGTAATTTTAGGCCAGTTTATTCCCGAACACGAATAGTGAACCTCGTGATCAATGTGTCTTCTTAATTAAAAAAAAACTGATGTGCCAACACTATTTCTTCTACTAATCCATTGTCGAACCCATAATCTTTTTTTTTAAAAGCTTCTTGCTTCTTTTCTTAGATTTCTTTACGAAGCATATGACAAACAATAAGTACTCCTATTTTATTTGATCCATTTAACAGTTTCGTTATAAATTTAAAAAAAAAACAGCACTTCTACTCGCGATCAGATCACTTTTGAAACTAAACAATATTTAAATACATACAAGACTAAAAATATACAAGCATATATGTGAATAGAGCTCTTAAAACACGTGTCACGTGTACACGTGAAATACGTATTTATCCAAATATATATACATTTTTATAATGATGAAAATTAGTAATTTTATATTATGAAGTTGAACTTGAAGTTTTAATAAAATATTATTAGTACAGTATTAAGTTAGGTTATACTTTCTTATTTTGGATTTTACACGTGACACGTGAATTCATGTGTATTAAGAGCTATGTGTAAACATGCACTTCTTAATATTTAAATACATTTTTGATTTTTATATGAACATTTTATTTTTTCAATGGATTATCGTTTGATAATACAGACTTAAAAACATTGCATTATTAGTCGTTATTAATCGATATAAATTTATATTTTGCATATTTGTAACTATTGGTGATTTAGTTTGTTAGTTGTTTATAGTTATAGAAGAACATTTAGTTGATTTATGTGACGTATCAAATCACTTTCTGAAGCATAATACTGGTTGAACATTGATATTGAATTCGAATGAATTAAATTTTTTTATTCATTCGCATTTTCATTTTAGAGTTTTCAGATTTTGTTTCAAGAAAGTAATTCAGTACCTGTTCAGAACAACAATCACAATGATAAAGAATGTATTAATGGTGTCTGGCCAACTTAGTTCAGGAGATGCTAAGAATAATGGCAATAGCTACGATCTTGTCTTTCCAGCTTTGCCAGTTCCGAAGACATCGAACACTTATGGGACTGTACCATTTAAAAAACGGAGTAATGTTAAATCTTCAACAGTGAACGAAGTAATTTATCATGCCATTTTAATAGAAATTAATAAGTATTAGAACGATCAGTCTGATATTGACTTGTAACACGGTCGCATGTCAGTGCCATTATAATTTGCCCGTTCCGTTACCGCAATTTTAGTGAAGTTACTTTATTTGTTTATTTAAGTTAAGTTAGTTAGTTCATTTAACGGTATTATATTTATGCGACTTCACTTTCAAGATGAACAACATACCCTCTCCGCTTACTACCAAACCCAAACGATCGCTGCTATCATAGCCTAATTCTCCTATCCATACGGGGAAAACACTAAACCATTAGTTTCGTCTAATCGTTTCGCTGTCTTCGAGCGAAGTGGATAAAGAAATCAAACTCGACACCTCTTGTGACGTTCATAATATAATCAAAGAATCTATTGTTTACCATCAATATAAAAACATCAGGTCACTATATATATATCAGATGCCCTATTGGAATTAGATTCCCGCAAAAGAATTACGAATGTCATTCAAAATGGTCATACGCTTCCGCTGTTCTTTGTTGAAATTAATCCAAATACAAATGATAGCAAAATTCTTAATGAATCAATGAATGTTGCACACAAAAATTTAAGTTGAATTACCCAATAAGACTTATAATGATTCACCTCAGTGTCTAAAATGACATAGCTACGGTCACAATGTTAACTATTACCATCACCATACCGGAAATAATGGTGACCCTTCATCCTTCACGCTATGTTAAACGCAGGGGAAATCACTTCTGAAACAGTTACATCAAAGAGAAAGGCAGTTTAACCAAGTACGGCTTTTGCGTGGGTGATCCATACTTCTAACTATAAAGGTTGTCCTAAACATAAATTACTTCTTAAATGTCGCAAAACTACCCATTTGTAATCATCAAAATAAAAAAATTGTACTCACGTCTCCTCTTATCAAACCTCTTTACAAAGCTTCTTGCGCCTCCATTACTGGTTCTAATAATATCCTATTATTACCTAATAGTCCTATGGACGATATACTGTTTTCCAATTTATCTCAGGTCTTCTGGCATTAATAAATCTAATATTTTCTCTTCTTTTATTATTACAGCTTTTTTACGCAATCACCTTACTCCTAAGCCCAAATACTTTTCTACCTTATTCATTTAAATGATCACGTCTTTAACCACTTGATATGTTATCCGTTATTTGTAAATTTTAATTGGTCAATCAAAATTAACTCTTATTTCATAACTATCTCAAATTATTATATTATACTAATATTATTTTATGATAATGATTATTGTATATAATATTATATTATATTATTATATTATTGTATAATGTTAAAATGCATACTTAGTTATCTTACTCACATGATTTAATTGTTGAGCTATAATAACTTTGTGTTAAAAGTTAAATAAAAAATAACAAAAATTATAAAATAATAATTTACATATAAAAGAACATCATTATTATGGTTTTAAATAACATTTTTCTGTATGAATAGTAATAGTTTAGAAAGTTTTTGTTGATTTATATCTAGAATATAAATAAAATATTATCTTGATTTTTATTTTGTAAAATTT